GAGTCAGAGAAGGACAGGTACAGCCACGGACACCCAGGCGCCTGGCAGGTGCCCCCACCTGGTAAAGGTGCAGTCAGGGCGCGCGGAGTGGCTCAGGCACAGAGTTAGCTCCGCGCACCACGGGACATAGGTTCATGGTGATCAGACAGGAGCGCTCAACAGGTACGCGGGGAGGAGCGGGCGCACGGAGGTGGGGGACACGCTCCCAGGGCCAGGCTCGCGTTTTCGGAAACAGGGACCACACCAGGAGAGAAAGGCCGGCGCAACCAGCAGATCCACGGCGACGAGGGGCGAAGCAGGCAGCGGAAGTGCACCGACCCATCACCTGTGAATGTTCACAGCATGCTGCCTCACACGAAGCTCCGCACTGAGGCCACCCGGCCTCGGTAGGAGGCTTCTAGGGTCCCAGATCAGCCAGCCTTGATCCCACAGGGAGCACAGCACTTTATAGTGTCTGCCTCTGGGCTTAGCTGAGGGAGACAAGGTTATCATGCCCCTTTACCCTAGAGAAATTCCGAAAAGGCTCCACCGTCCTGGCTGGAGAGACGGAACCAGGAGCTGGAGCTCCCATTCCAGGGCAGCAGATGCCATCTTTGCCACTTTTGAAACCACATGTGACCTAGGGCAGAGGGGAGACTCTTCTGGTGGAGTAAGGGCTGGCACCTGCCCGTGTGTGTGTGTGTGTGTGTGTGTGTGTGTGTGTGTGTGTGTACACAGAACCCACAAGCTAGAGGATCAGCCCATGGCAGTGCCACCTCTCCCAGCTCACTTTGCAGATGGGGAAACTGAGTCCTAGGGAGCCAAGTACTCAATACTGAGTTTCCTGTGTGAGCCAATACTTCTTATATTTTCTCGGCCTTATCGTAGGTGTGTGTCCTGTAAGCTTACATGTTATTAGTGTTGTAACCAAAAAACGTTTCTTGTAAAAGACACCATATACCCTATACCTGTGCAACTTAATGGGCAGTAATAATAAAATAGCCACATACCTGTCACCTAACTTAGAAAACAGACCTGTGCCAGCACCTCTGAGGCCGCTGTGTGCCTCCATTACAGCCTTGCACCCTCGTCTTGAACAGCCACTTTCCTGAATTTTGTTCTAATTGTGCTAATAATTTCTTTGATTTTTAAAGTTTTAGCGTCTTTGTATGCATCCCTAAATAATATATTGTTTAGTTTTGCTTTTTTTTAACTTTGTGCAAGTGGAATCATTCTACATGATCATGTGACTTTCTTTTTCATGAAGCTTTAACATTTTTTTTTACTTACTGATTTTAGAGAGAGAGAGAGAGAGAGAGAGAGAGATATTTCTCGTTCCACTTATTTATGTACTCATTGGTTGAATCTTGTATGTGCCCTGATTAGGGATCCAACCTGATGTATCTGGACGACCCTCTAACCAACTGACCTACCTGGCCAGAGCAGCATTGTTTTTTATATTTATTATTGAATAATATTCCATGGTGGAATATACCACTGATTATTTATCCATTAATTTGTTATTAGTTGCTGTTTATAGGATTTTTTTTTTTTTTTACCCTTACAAAGAGCATGCCTATTTTAATGCAGTTGTAGGGTTGAGGGAACGGACTCTCAGAGACTCAGAAAGGCGAAATCACTGGCCAGGTCCTGGAGCTGGCAGAGCTGAAAATCCCACAGCTCTCTCCACGGCCTCCCTCTCCACATTGTTCCTGGAGGCCACAGACCACCCCAGGGAGGGAGCATGCATTCCTAGTTCTGTCCTGAAGCGGTTCCCCTCCTCTGGGCCCCCCAGGGATACTGCAGCCTCATCACATGCTCACAGCCACTCCCACTGAGCACTGTGTAGGCTGCACCCCTCAGTTCCTTTTGGAGCTGAGAAAAGCTTAGCGATGCCAGGCATTTAGTCATTGTAGTAACTAGCTTTAAGATAGGAATAATAGTAAGTAACGAGTTCAGGTTAATCATCATAATGATAAGTCAAGAATGCCACGGCGATAATGCCTCACATTTATAAAGCACTTACCAGGCGGCGGGCACGGTGCCAGCACCTTGCAGACACTTCCGTGCCTTTGCATCTGCTCCTTCCCCAGCCCAGGAGTGTTCCCCTTCCCCTCTCCCCACTGCTGCCTGGCCAATTCCATTCATCTTGTTGATGATGTCACCTCCTCTGGGAGGCCTGCCCGGACTCCTTAGATGCTGAGTTGCTTCCTCCTCTGTTCCTACGTGCTGGATTATGATTGCCTGCTTGGGATCTCCTCTGGGGCCAGGACTGGGCTGGAACTCCACCCAGGCTCCCAGGCTCCATGCTGCCCAGCACTGTGCCAGAGGGAGC